TGGTAGGCATATCATCCTCCAGATATGTACATGCAGTGATGAAGTTGGGGTAGGCATAGCATATACACTTGTGCGTTCTTCTTTGATAGGGAGAGAAACTTGTGGTGTTGTTTGAGTTGTTGGCTGGTATACTTGTGCATTCTTTGAAAGAATTTCTTTCTAGTGTTGGCAAAGATACATACTGCTGATGCCACTGGATTGATTGATCAGTTTGGTGCTAAGGATGAAACTGTTTTCCAACAATCTGGCTGGTATTACTTTGTAATGTACTCCCTCCGTAAACTAATATAAGAGTGTTTAGATCACTACTTTAGTGATCTAAACGCTCTTATAGAAGTTTACAGAGGGAGTACTAGCAAACTGCCAAAATGTGGTTAAGACAACTTTTTGTACCTATTGATTCAGGCACGAGGCCCATATCACACCACATGGTCTTCCAATAGCAGACCGGCTGGGAACTTTTCTAGTGATCCCTTTCGCTTACATCAGTGGAAGTTGTGGAAACCACAATTTTTGCACATCCAGGCTGGGATCCAGCTCTGGAATAAGGTTCAACACATCAATACAATCTACAAGAAGGGGAAATGGCACATCACATTCAAAAAATGTTCACGCTTTTTCAAAAGATATGTTCGTGACATTTAAAAAAAATACAATGTAAGATATGTTCACGTGTTCAAAAAAAAATTCATGACATTTTAAAAGATGTTTATACAATGTAATTTGTTTTGAGTAACTAAAAACATACTCCCTCCGTCCTAAAATGTAAGATCATTTTTGACACAAAATGTAGTGTCAAAACTGATCTTATATTTTGGGGACGGAGGGAGTATTTTTTAGCATTAAATTTATTTGTCATATTAAAAAAATGTTCACACATTTAAAAAATAAGTTTGTGACATTTTCAATAACATGTTAGTGACTTTCTAAAAATATTTTTAAACAATTTTAGATAGTTCATCGTATATCAAATAGATGTGCAGCGTCTGTACAAAGAATTTATAATTGTATTAAAAATCGACATGTATTAGAAGAAGAACAGATAAAATATCAAAAAGAAAAAGAAAAATCAATGAAAATCATAAAATAAAGGCAAAAGGAAAAAAACACATGAAACCTTCCTAAACCCGATGAAAAGTTCCATGAACCAATCCTCAGAACCTTTACAAAAACTACTTCACTAGGTCAGCCTACTATGGTGACGCATTCGGTAGCGCTAGTGCCGAGGCGGAGGTATGTCTTTACACCAGGCAAGATAGCACGAGGACACAAATCCAAACTAGACCTAATTACCTTAATTTTATTACATATGTTGCTTTTCTCTATTGTTCAGAACATGCACACCATGAATAACCCATCTCTGTTGTTAAGGTAGGGAAAGGCTCAACTGAGGGGAGTGGTTTATCTCTTGTGCATGCTCGTATATGAATCCATCGTCTGTGGTTGCTTTTGGGATTCATGTTTCTTTTTTGGTTTGCCACAAATTGTCTTGTTTCATTGTGTTTCCACTAAGAAAGAATGCACTTGTTTTGGACCGAGTTTGCTCATAAACAACTAAGCGAGCTATGCCTCTCCACGGCGATTAGGCACTCCCACCCGTCCGATTCAGACATGCACGACCTGGATCACCTCTATCATCGACTCCTGCCCCATTTTTACCATGAGACAACTACCAACCGTAAACTGGGCCACTACTTCGCAAAACAACTTCGGCAATTTCCTATGAACTGAGCCAACATATTTGTGGACTAGGGTAATTGTATGAGCCCAGCATCGTGGCCTCTGACGCCCTTCTTGTTTTCCCTATTGATGGCATGTCCTTTCCCCTGATGGTCGCCATGATGGAAGCCTCCTCCCCCCAGCCCTCGCCAATGATGATGCTTAGGTTTCCGCCTGCACTTGCTACAACATGAGAAGCCACACGTGACGGCGTTGCCGTTGACGGTGGAGAGGAGATCATCAACAAGGGAGGTGATTGGAATAATCTAGTATGAAAGAGATCAAGTTGAAGGTAGGCATTCTTTCCCAGCTTCTCCACTCCATCAATACCCTCCCACATCTCGCAACCACAACTCTCTCTCTCTCTCTCTCACAACTTGCTTATATTTGTGATTGCTTAAGATCCCCTAATTTTGTTTGCTTTTGTTTCTATACATGTTAGGTTATGAGGGTTACAACTAGGTACAAATCTCAACAAGGACTTATCTTCTTGGGATGCAAAGAATGAAGTTAAATTGGTCTTTCCTAATTAATTAATGGGTTTTAATCATTTATGCCATCGGTTGTGTCCCACTACTCAGTTTTGCCACTAGAAATTTCAACTGCTCAAAAATGCCATCGCTTTGTTAGACACATGTTCAAAAATGCCACTTGGCACCATTATTGTGATCTCAAATCTCTTTTGCCATGTTATAATGACATAAATACCTATGAACCAGCATGTCAGCTCTTCTTCTATCTTACTACAATAAAGTGTGGGGCCCACTTGATCCTAACGACGTTTTTATTTTTCTATAAAATTATTCGCTTGGTTACTCCTGGCAAGTGGGGCCACACTTATCATTGTGAGATAGAGAGAACTGACATGTGGGTCTAGGATTATTTTTGTCATATAACATGGTCAATGAGTTTGATGTGAAAATAACGATGTCTAATGGCATTTTGAGGAAACATCTAACGGAACGATGGCATTTTTTAGCAAACATCTCACGGATCGATGGCATTTTTGAGTAGTTGTAACTTTTAATGGCAAAACTGAGTAGTGGGACATAACTAGTGGCAAAAATGATAAAAACCCATTAATTAAACAATAGGACTAGAGGGTCAGAATAGATTGAGACCACCGAGTTATGGTGGAGTTGGTGTGTACTTTGTGTAGGTAATATCAAGGAGATGTCAGTTAATCTGCCAATTTTTTGTATTTGGGAGATGGTGGCAGTTGTGAGTGTTGAAAGTGTGTATGTGGATTGCGTTGCCTAGTGCATAAAGATTAACATGATATTAGAGCCTATTTTTAGGTTGTCCCCGGACGCCTCAACTCATCCTCTCTCCTGATCGGTTTTTTTGGTCTATCACGATCCGCACGCCCCTTGTGCTTGTTTTGTGACTTCTCATCGATCACTTCCAATGGATTTTCTTTGCTTCTAGCAACCTCGAGGACACGGGCCGACGATCCGTTGACCATCTTCAGGGCACGAGCTTTGATACCATGTTGAGCTTCATGCACTATCTAACGCAACCAAAAGTCTAAACTGATGAAAAGGATTAGGCAATCCGCATATACACTTCAACACTCCCTCTTATGTGTGACGCGGGAAGTCAACTCATGAGTAGACTCAGAGGTATGGCTCAAGAGGGTTATACATGGACACAAATGGGCGCAACAATAAAATTTGGTTAAATTGCAAAAGTTAGGACTTGAACTCAAGATATTAGAGTATGATACCATGTTAAGCCTCGTGCACTAGTCAATGCAACCAAAAGTCCGAACTTGAGGCCTTAGGCTCTAATACCATTTTATGGTGCAACTTAATTGTATTGCAAGGCCCAAAGGGCATACATATATTACACAAGACTTATCATTGAAGGAACGGAAACATAGCCTAATAACGATTTCTAGACCAATATTAACACTTCCTAACAGTGAGTTCATTCAGTTTTTTCTTCCATCATGCACAATTCAAACTTATCTGCTCACAAATGTTCAACTATTTGCAGATGATGCATGGGTATCACAGTAACTCTAATTTTGGTTTGACGGATACATGGCTTATGAAAAATTCATGCAATAGACATCTATATTTGAAACTTGGAGATCATCTCTTATATCCTCATGATCACCTCTCAATTCTCACTTTTTTTTGTCTCATTCCTTCATTTAAGCATAGGTTCAGTTTCATTTGCTCAAGGTACTTGCAAGTCGCACATATAGTTTCTTCACTTAGGACCCCTAAGAAAAATTCTTGTGTTTTAGATGAAGCAGTTGGTACGAAGAATGTGTGTCATGCCCAAATGAGTTAGCATGCTTTTCATTCTTATCAGTACGATGACCATGCATGGCCAGGATACTTTTAGATCAAGCATATGAGGGGGATGGGGTGTACTCTGGATGAGAATTCTGCTGAGAGTAGATCAGTGAACTAAACAAGTTGTGTGATAAGTGGCATGACCAGATGCCTAGTGGCCATACAACTCTTTGCCACTTCGATACTGACAACATATCACAATGAGAAAGGAGGAAACAACACTTGGATGTTCCTTGCAAAATGGTTTTAACATGTGAAGCTACATTCCACCCCAATCAATTACTGTTATCTGAAATGGTTTTGGGAGCAGCAAGCTAAATATTTACAAACATATATATGCAAACATGTTTAAATCAGCTATAGGGCCAGTTCATGCAAAATTAACCTATGTATACATTATGACTATATAGACTGGATCATGCAAATTGACGTAATTCTATCACTGAAATGAACGGGTACGGCAAAGCAGGTCATCACGGTCTAGTGAAACATTAAAATACACTTTGAAATGAGAAGAAACCAAATGTAATCGTTTAAAACAAGACAGGTTCTGAAAAATATTATTTAAAAATAGCCCAAATCACAAAGCAACCATGAATGATTGATCCAAAAATGGTAGAATTGTTTTTTTTTTGAGGTGGATAGAATTGCTCTCTCCTCACCCGAGCAGGGAAGAGGAAGGAGCAATGAAAGAAAATATTTTTTAAAAAATAGCATGAATCTCAAAGCAACCATGAATGACGAATTCATATATGGTATGATTTTTTTAGCTTTTTAAGAATTTTGGTGTCTGCATGTGGGCTCGAGATTAGATGATTTGCCCTACTTGATAAGGGATTAGATGATTTGTTTTAGGGTTGTCTCAATGACCAGTGGCGCCGCCGGCCCCACCCGGCAGTCTCTCAGGGGGTAAATTATCTAAGTGGGGCAAAAGATCCAATTTTCGGTCGCCATTTCCTCTCGAGCTCGACAGCCATGGCCTCAGAACTAGGGCTAGCGCCGCCGGCGAAGCGCCCGCTACCGTCGGCACCCACCACCATCACCGGTATCGGCGACGACCTCCTCCGCGAGATCTTCCTCATGCTTCCGTCCCTCCCGAGCCTCGTCCGCGCCGCCCTCGCCTGCCGCACCTTCCTCGGCGCCGTCCGGTCGTCCCCCGCCTTCCGCCGCCGCTTCCTGGCGCTCCACCCGCCCCAGATCCTCGGCTTCTTCATCTGCCCCAGCCGCATCGCCAGCCACCCCTTCGTCCCCTCCCGCGGCCGCTCCGACCCGGACCTCGCCGCCGCCGTCCGCGGCGCCGATTTCTTCCTCACCCGTCTCCCGGAGAACGGCGGTTCCTCCCGCGGGTGGCACTTCGAGACCTGCTACGGTGGCTACGCCGTCCTCCTCAACCAAACCACGGACCAGATCGCGGCCTACAACCCCCTCACGCAGGCGCTGCATCTCTTCCCCCAGCCGCCCGCCGACAAGATCCTCTTCCACGGCTTGCCTGAGTACTATTTTTTCTCCGAAGAGGACCAGGGAGTGCTCCGTATGGTCTGTGTCCAACACCGGAACATGTCGTGGCAAGTGCCGGCGCGCCTCGCCGTCTTCTCCCCGGCCACCAGCAGCGAGTGGCAGATTTTGCCGTGGGTGGAGACCCCGCCGCCGCTGCAGCCCGAGGAAGATGGTCAAAAGGTCATCACCTTTTACCCTGGTACGCAGGTGAAAGGATTCGTCTACTGGAAACACACGAGTCAAGCCTATGCACTCATTCTCAACACTGCGACACTGCAATTCTCGAGAGTGGATTTGCCGCCATTCTTTGAAGAGATAGAGACTGTGCAATTTATGCTTGGTCAGACCAAGGATGGGGAGCTCTGTATGGCTGGCGCAGATGACAACGATGGAAAGACAGGAATGCTCGTTGTTTGCGTTTGGAGAGCTGATGAGCACGGTGTTGAGAAGTGGATGCTGGAAGGTATTTTTGCACTGAGTCTATTTGTTGATGCCACAGAGGATGATTCCACGGTGCAGGTTGATGCGATTATCGATGGCTATGTGTACCTGTCTACTAAGTATTCTGGGCAAGCCGAGTCCCTCCTATCCCTCTGCCTGGAAACAGCAAAGCTAACCAAGCTCTTTGATGGTACATACACAAGCCCATCTCATCCCTATATCATGGCATGGCCTTCTTCATTGGCAGACAACAAGGCAAGCCCGTGCTTGAAGATTCCGGTAAAGTTTCTTCAGACGTTTGGTCCTTAGATTATGTGTGTCCGTCCCATAATATAAGAGCATTTTTTACAGTAGTATAGTGTCAAAAACGCTCTTATATTATGAGAAGGAGGGAGTAGTTGTGATAATCTGCCATTAATTCCACCTTCTGCAATTTTGGTCCACAGTTTTTGTTTTTTTTGTTGCACAACAATGGCTTGATTCCAAGTCTTGATAAAGTAGCACTTGCATAACTCATATAGTACATGTGTTTAATTGCAGATTATGTATCAGTAGGAGGATGCAATGTGGAAAGCCAATATCCCTCTAAAAATTAAGATATACTATGGCTGATTTGGCACAATGTGATTGCCACAAAAGACAGTATGAGAAGAATAAACTGGGTTGGGGATTATATTTGTAGCTTTTGTGAGGAGAACGAATCTATTCATCATCTCTTCTTTGCCTGTTTGGCTGCATCATACATGTGGAGCTCTATCTGCAATACTATGGGTCTATATGATAGACCTCAGATGCTTCACACAATACATTACTTGGGTCGCTGATAAAATTCCCTTAGGCATTAATTTACAATTGCTGCCTTTTGTTGGGTTATCTGGAAAACTCGAAACAGAGCTTATTTTGAGAAGAAATTACCGTTGGCTCCTGCTGAGCTGATTTATTATTTTTATGTTTTTCTATGTCACTGGGCAGGTTTACAGAAGGATGGTGAAAGCCAAATCTTCTGGAAGGGGAGGCGGCGATCCAGAATTCAGCTATCAGGAGTTCAGGACCCATGAAGCTGCTAGTGTGTCCTCGACTGGTGGCTTACTGAGCATCAGTGAAGAAGATGAGAGTGAAGATGAACAAAATGAGCTGATGGATATTGAGCGGCAGTAATAACAAAAAGTCTTGTTACTGCTTGATTGTGGTGTTTCCATCCAGGTTATCTGTCCTGTATGTTTTTCGTTCTGAACAAATCAGTCTGGGGCTAGCTTGTCCCCCAAATCTTATCTTCTCTTTTGTGTCTATGTCCTGGTGTGGATTGCTGTCCACTTTCCTTGGAGTTTGCTCTTGCAACCCTGCGTCACTTTCGTGTGAGGTTCATGAGTCTTTTGGGATGCGTTTTTTCTTTTCTTTTTCAGTGTGTAAAAACCTTGTTTCGTTATGCCAATAGTAGAACCCGGTTCCCTTTTTTGGGAGGCGTATGACAAAAACGTACGAGGATACAATATTTAGCATGCAGTTTGTGCAGAGTTTATGATAGCACTAGCACACTGATATAAAGTGCACGGCATGCTCCCTATCTCTTGTCTTTTGCGCAGATTATGTGATAGCACAAGGATATAAAGTGCTGCATTGCCACTATTTGAGGCTGTAAATTTCTCCTCACTCAAACGTTGTCTAAACATTACTTTGTAATGCTAACCACAATGAGATTGCATTGCTGTAACAAATCTTATTTCATTTTCACTACCTGTATGGGTACTATACTTGTCTAACATAATAAATCTTATATCGTTTGCACTGCTTGTATGGTTGCTAAACTTGTCTATAATTTCTTTTTGAAACGGAGAACTTGTCTATCATTGGAATCTATAGACTTGCACAATTTATGTATTACTCACACCGAAATATTCTCCTATGTCTCTGGGTGCTCGCTGGTGCAAAAACACTAAGGGCCAGTTCTTTTGCTAGCTTTTTTGGGCTTCCAGAATAAGCTGCCCCCTACCCAGCTTATTTTAGAAGCCCAACCAAAATTTTCTTTTTAAAAGCCTACTAGTCAAGTCTTAACTACCAGGCTTCAAAAAAAATAAGTTTGGTTCAGCTTCTAGAATAAGCTAGGTAGGGGGCAGCTTATTGCAGCTTATTCTGGAAGCCACCAAAAGAACTGGCCCTAAGTCGCCTGCACGCGTGCCCTCCTGATGTTTGATTGTAGGCGTGCAATGTAGCTGTACAGTCCATCTCACTGAGAAGTTGAGGATTTTTCAACGATGCAGCTACCACTGGAACATCTGATGTTCCATACATCGTATCATATCTGTAGTTTGGTTACTTGAATTTATCTAGCCTCTGAACCTGAATGATTTACGAGTACACAATATACTGCTCCTGCTTGGCCTCGTATAATGCGTGCAGTTATGATTATCATTAAACTGCTATTGCATCTACGGAAACTTGTGAGCATAGGACCTATGATGTTCTTACATACGATTCCTGATTGAGGAGTCATATTGATTTCAATAGACAGAAAAGGCAAAGTAGACAGACAACATAGATTGTCAGCAGCAAGCCATCTGTGATTCTGAAACATTCTCAGTAGCTGGTGCAAATCAGCATCATTATGATGTGTCTGTTCTTGACAGGAATTGCAAAAACTTGCCTGTAAACTAATATGAGACCCTGAGATCACTAAAGTAGTGATCTAAAAGATCAGTTTATAGAGGGAGTACTTACAAGTATCCACATGATGGTTTTGGCCAAACCATTCAAATCTATCCAAATTTCACAAGTATACATGCATGCTCATAAAGAAAAGCAGAACAATCAAATTGATTTGCCGCCCTGTTCTGTTGATATTTCTGAAGCTTCTTACAATTCTATCATAAAACCACTGCATTTTCCAGTTATGCTAAATAATGGTATAAAGAAAACTGCATGATCATCCACTCATTGTAAAAATCCCCACGGTGAAAAATTTCATCAACGAATCACATCAGAGAGATGAATGTCAGAAGAGCGACTACTTCCAGCGTCAACAATTTCAGCAGTCCTGCATCATAGGACGGTGAGGCCAAAAGACCTGTTCTGTCGACGGAACGAAGCGAGTTTAGCTAGCAGAAGAAACACACGAGCTGCTGATTGCATTTTTCTAAACCTATATCTGTATGTTCTATAGGTAAAAGTAGGCGTCCAGTTCTGCTGTCATCGTATGCTGAACTTGTGAAGAACTCCCACTCTGATCTTCATTTACTCTGCGTCGACATCCGGGTGTTGCAGCTCACATCCTAGGCTGAATTAGCAGAAATTATGAGCGAGTTAGGCAGCAGACATGATCAATAACAAGATCAAGAAGGAAAAATCTTGAAACAATATAATGTGCAAGGAACTAAGTTTTATGCGCTATTGTAAGATACTACCTGAATTATATTCAGAGTTCTTTTTTTGAGGAATTAATTCAGAGGTTAGAAAATAAAGTATATTATCTGCAAAGGTGAAATGAGATGACTGAACTTGATTTTCCTATTTATCTATAGGCAAATGTTTCAGAATGGAACTGAATTATCTGAATCAAGGACTGAACAAATCCACATGGCAAATCAAACTACTTTTACTCTTCTATAAGACTGCAACTGTTTCAGGCAACTACCAAATCCTAAATGAACTACTTTTACTCTTCTATAATATCCTTTTTCCAAGAACGATTGGATTAGCACTCAACTAAAGAAAGATTCTAGTACATATTTTCATGCAGTAAAATAGTATCTACGCCAACATCTGTACATTGTGCATAATAGATTCAAGACCAGAATACATTCTGGCCAAAGAAGATCAGCAGGAGGCAGGTGAACAATCTAAATCTCAGAATTTTGTAGAATAAAAAAACAAGATCAAAGATTACAGATCATGTACAAAACCTGAATACAGCTCATGTGGACAAATAAGGTTCATTTAATTTATTATTGTTGGAACCAGAATTTTGTTTGCAGTGTTATTCGGCGCATGTAAAATGGGCTAATTCAAAGGGTGCGGATTTTTGGAGGCCGAGCTCCAGTGAGCTCGGTATTTTCAAAAAAAATCAAAAAGCGTATTTAAAAGTTTTAAAAAATTCTGAAAAAAATTCCATGGAAACATATACTTATTCTGCAAGAACGTGTTAAATTTCGTCGAAAAATGTTGTGATTTGTAGGCTGCACAAAAATAACAAAATTCCGGCCCAATAACAAAAATAAAAGGCCCATTTAAAAATGCGTATTTGTCTTTTTTTCTGTACGCCACATGTAAACGTATAATGCTGTGAAATTTTGCATATACGTAGTATACATGTGCATGTGTGTTCGCAAAATAAATTTGAAATTTTTTGTGCTCTGAAAAAATAAAATTTGAAAACGAGCTCACTGGAGCTCGGCCTTCGTTGGCATTTTCCGCTAATTCAAACGGATATCACCATCTTCTATGTTAAGGCCAAATGGAGATGAATCAAATGATTTGGAGTTTTAAGTTCCATAATGATTTATTCCCCCAATAACAGATCTTAATCTACTTATCAACAAGATTACAACAGTTGCAGACAATCCCCAACACCTGTCAGTTTTAGACCACAAGAGTGTCAGAAAACTGTTTTTTCAGACTACAAGAGTTTCAGTTAACTGTTTTTTCAGACTACAACAGTTTCAGTTAACTGTTTCTTGGACTAAAACCGTTTCAGTAAACTGTATCAAGCACAAGCAGATTAGCACAAAAATATAACCCAAGAGATCATTGCAATGCAGCTAATAGCATCTACACCAAAATGTGAACACCACCAGTTGCAGTTCATGACAAATTCCTGTGCAAAATCGTAGTGTACCTGCCCTGTACCCTGACGAAACCCGTGAAAGATCCCTGCTGATGCTCGAACTGAACCCGTATGAACACCGGAGGGCTCGACGCCAACGGGTAGCCGTGGAACTTCCATGGCGTGTAGCGGGCGAGCTGGGACCTGAGGCTGCTGCCCGCCGAAGCGTGGCGGCGCGAACTGGGGCGGAGGCCCCTGGAGCTGAACCTGAGCCATCGGCGCGTTGAAGTAGCGGGGGGCCTGAAGCCGCTGGGATCGGAGCGGCGGCTGGACCTGAAACTGGAGCGGCGGCGGATGCATCGGCTCGTTGACGTTCGGCGACCCGAGCTGGAGCTTCTCGAGGTCCTGGAAGAGGTCGCCCATCGTGTACCCGAAGCGGTAGTCGCCGAACACCTGCACAGCAGGCAACAGGGCGGGAAGCCCTGAACGAATTCCTCCGATTAGTTTGCAAGAAAGCAAGAACAAGAAATCAACAGGAGAACTCGGCCGGGAGGGGACTGATCGCACCTGAGAGAACCGCCTTCGCTGCGGCGAAGGTCCCCGGGGCGGCGCAGGTCGGTGGACGCGCGGAGATCGTCCCCGCCGAGGTCGACGTGGCAGGCGCCGAAGAGGTCATCGCCGGCGCCGCCTCGGCCGTGGCCGCAGTCGTCTCCGCTGCGGCATCGCCCGCGCGCCCGTAGAGCGAACCGGGCGACATGCCGACGGTGTCCCTGTCTAACGTGTAGCTGGGCGTCTTCCCTCCTCTCCGACGGTCCTCGCTCCTCCTCGGAGGACGCGGCGGCGGCGCAGCTCTCCCGCCCCTGGGAGGACGCGGTGGCAAACTCCCCAGAACCGGAAAGGCCGTGTCGTAGTCGAGGCTCGGCGCGAGCGCTGCGTCGGCTGGGGGCTGCGAGGAGGAGGCGGCGGTGGAGGGCATGGAGGAGGAGGAGGAGGAGGAGGAGGACGAGGCCATGGGAGGGGCCGTTGGGGGTGGCGGGAGTTTGAAGAAGAATTGGTCGGGGAGTGGTTGGGCCGTTGGTTGGGGGCGGTGTTCCCCCGTATTTATACTGCTGCGCATAGCATAAGAATCAAGAAGTGCCTCGCTTTCTTCTTCTGCTGCCCCGTACCCTGCACTCTCGGAAGCATGGATCGCTGGCTGAGTCTAGCGAAGGGCATAGCCTGAAGGTGCAGCATTTCTTGTGCACCTTGGCACTTTCAGATGTTGTATTCAGAACTGGAAACCATGCATGCACACCTTGCCGAGGCCCTGTACCAAGCAGCTGCCCTCTGGGTCTCGCTGGCTTCACAAGCCTTTGCAAGATTTAGAGCATCTACGGCTTGATCCCTCAACTCAACCTTATGC